ACGGCCAGTCGTCAGGTAATAATCTGACTACCAACGTAAAATAAAACAAGAGTGGTGATACAGTGACAAGTCGTCCTCATGGAAATACCGGTTTCGAAACCAAAGGTTCTCTTAATTGCTAATTTACTTGGCCAAAGAATTCATCCCACATTGCTTTCAAATAAACCATCAAAAACACAAGTTGTTTGAAGTGTTAAAAAGTGTTGAGTTGTTAACAGCTGGTACCACATGGTCGTATCAGAACGAGCGAGAAATGCGGCAGTGCTTTCAAAGCGAACGCCTATTCGAGTGCACTTCTTGACTAATCTAATAAGTAATTATGACAATCAATACGAAGCAAAAACGCAAAGAATACTCTCTTCCTTTCCATTGTTATATATTTACAAGGCAACATAAAAGATCAAGTGGTGAATCGAAGCTGCGACAAATCATAAACGAAATAAAGTATTCAATTTTCTCCAATTTTTCACTTTTCATCAATGCACGTTTTTAGAATTCAGAATCAGAACAAAAAACCTGCAACGGAAAAAATATGCCAAATCAACTTGAAGAAACAAGTTGCACAGTTTTCAGGCTTCATCTGTCGTTCTCTTCATCGCTGTCACAAGTTAGATCAATTACCTCAATTGCAGAACGATTCTTCTTCAAGCCTAAACAGTACAAATGCACAGACTAAAAACTGATTACAGAAGTTCAGCCAAGTTCATTCAATTCAAAAACCATCTACATTTAGATCCTTAGATTCTCTGAACTGGCAAGCATGTTGAATTTTAACACATAAACTTATGCAGTCATGTTATATATAAATATACTGTTTTTTGAGGGGTAAGTGCGTAGTTTGCAAGGAAATTTCAAAAACGCTTTTTCAACGGATCAATTACATTTAAGGTTGATACGATTCATCCTGAAACACTCGCTACTTTGATCAAAATCGTTTTAGTACCTATTCTTGCCCTACAAAAATGGATAAGGGATTAGTTCCATCAGCATGTTAATTAGTCTGAATATCGAGCTTACGGTAGACAGCGGTGTCAAAACATTTTGTACAGTTTCCTACGTTTGTGAGGTCATGAGATTTTTTGGACAAAACAACATGCCATGTAGGACTGGGTTTCTTGTCGTTTCCTTGCAGTTTCGACAGAAGATGATGTGAAAGTAACGTCAAGCATCCGCAAATTCCGCACTTGCAGGAAAAAGCTTTTGAAACTTGGCAATACCATCAAAAACCCTGATAACTGCGAGCTCACTTAGCGAATCTCTATGAAACACCAGCAACACGAGACAGTTCGACTGATAATTGTATTATCTACCAACAATTACACAACCTATGAAATTATATTATCCAAGCTGCATGTTATGTTCCAAATTGACCAATGTTATAATATATGATGAGCGTTCTTGCGATCTTCTCTGTGCATTGTCTATTTATAAGCTGGCAAAAAGCGATACTGTTTGACTGATTATAGCATTATGATTGATCGATTATAGCATTACAAGACAAAGGCTTATGCAACTCCATTTTCTAAATGCAAATTTAGTCACCTAGCCATTACTATGGTAAAATAGCTTTGGCTTCCTTATGAATTAAAACAGAAAAGCTTACCAAGACCAAAACAATTACATAGATACGTCATGTGACTTCACGGTTAACAACACGTAAATTTTTTAGCATCGGTCCTACGGTCATGAGTAAATCATGAATGGCCAATTTCTTGATGATGATCGACGATTATTCTATCGAAGCGCGAGATTTATGTTGAAAAAAATCGTTTGTTGACCTTGACCAGTCAAAGAGTCAGAAAAAGCACCCGTTTCCAATCATCTACGGCATGATCTTGGATATGCGGTAGAACACGGTTAAATTAACAATCTGCTGCAACTTCTTTCGATTCACACGTTACTAAAATCTTATAGAATCATGGTGCAACAACGCAGTGTGAATCCGGAGAAGTGAACAGAAATGGCTATTTTTGCCAACGGCATCATAAACTAATGGCGTGCTAGTAGACCCATAATATACTGAGGCTAAATTTTGCATAAATTAACAATTTTGCGCAAAACTATAAAACTACTTGCAAACGGAAAAGTCAAAGGACGGACATTCTAAAAATCCTGACAGAGGCTTCACAACCACTGGGAAGGCACATAGCAGCGAAAAGTAAATTACAACGCATTAAATTACAGCGTATCGCACATCATGCCAAGTTACAGTAGGGGGGCTTTTCTTAGCCCTAAAGACCCTAATGAATCATACGGCGTTAATCCATTCATTCTCATTAAAACTACATACATCTTGAACCACCTCACAACTGTCCAGTAAATGTAAGATGTTAATTAAATCACAATAAAATTCATATGAATTAACAAGAAACCGCAAGGACTTTCTTCCCACAGCCACATGACAGGCGGTCAAAGAGAAAACTAGTCTGTAGGACCAGTCAAAATATAGGAAATATATATAGCAGGAGCAGAAAAACCTACTTAAGCTGCTGCCACACAATCTGAATGGAATAGGGAGCAATAAAAATGAATGAATGTACTGATGATATCTACTGTCTAGTTTTGTTCAGAATCGTAAGACGCTGATTTTGCTATTCGAATACCTCAGATGCCTAAGGGCCCACTTAAGCAGATCGCAATGCCTTTGCATGGAGCTTAAAACTGTTAAAATAAACGAAAAGAACGCGATCAAACTTACTATTTCCATTACCCTGAACATTTGGCTTGAACGACCTCGAAAGAGGACCGGAACACACTTGAAATGTCATCGTAAACGCGTCTCCATTTGATACAGCATTCCCTGAATACGTGTGCATTCTTTCGCCACAAATTTTTGGAATGGCAGGGGACATTACGGCCGCTAGTTCGACGGAGGTATTGACGACTGCCTGATTGTTAACACATTCAGTCTTTTGAAACAGCGCATTCTGAACATATTTTGTTAATATACAACAACAGTATTTCAGAAAAATAAGAGAACGTATATGCCTTGAATTAGTAGTCTATTGCACAGGAACTTTATAAAGAAAACTACCTGATATATTATTGCGTTCAATCTACTATAGCATTATTTCCACGTTAACCTCTGCGACACTCTTCTCTTAAAAATAAGTCGAGGGTATCTCGACGATCTGTAGACTTGGCAATGCACACGGTTTTTATCTCACTTAGAATTTGTATTTACAATCTAGATTACAACCGCCTTCCTGTAACATTTAACTATTGAATTTTGCTTAAGCGGGCGTGAATCCCCTTAAAAAGCGTCTAATCGTTAGAATCCTTATATGTTTAAAACAAGAACATTTCAGCTATTCTTGCGTTCATGACGTTAATGACCGGCAGCTGATCTCCATTTCCATGTCATGAGTTAGGATCGCCTTATTATTTTAAAGGCAGAGTTGAACGCAGTTGCATGACAGGCATAGCGCTGGTAATCTCTTACTTCCTTTCCACAGAATGATACTCATACCTCAGAAGGAAAAAAGACTAGTGACCCTGACAGGGGATCGAACCAAGAACCTCTCGGCTTCGAGTCTGAGTCGATGCGCTGGCGACCGTTTGAGAAAACCCGGTCAGATTGCCTTAAACAAGAGCTGGCTCCGTATATTCCGGTATACAAGTAGTCGAGAAGCGGCTTGAACATTACGACGTGGACAAGTAAAATAGCGTGATGATATTCGATTAGTGTTTCACAACTGAACTTCAGGATGATCCGTTTATTATCTAACTTCCGCAAACACCTTCCGTAGAGATTTTTCATTTCCTTCCCTTCCAAGGGCTACAACTTAAAAAATCGAAGTTCACACAACGGAAGGAAAAGACTTCCTTCAGCACAAATGGGTCAAAAGTGACCGTTTGGCTTGCAAAATTTGGATTATTTCGAGGAAATAATTTCTACTTACCTTGTGAGTGGCAGTCACTGGCAAGAAAACAATTTCACCTGAAAACCATAAAGACCCCATGCACAAAATGAAATTTTACTTTTGCTTTTGTACCATAAACCAGCGTGAGGGAGGTGAAAATCTGCTTATAATTTATTTCAAAATTTAAAAGTGCAAATGTATTGT